CGGGCCCCGAATCCGGTTTCGGGGCCCGAATCCACAGTCAAGACACCCTATGATACCTTAAGGCTTTTTCATTGTGCTTCCTACTGTTACCTCTTGCTAACCTTTTAGTATCCTATCGTCTTAGTTTCTTCCTGTTTTCCATTCGGGCCCCGAATCCACTTTCGGGCCCCGAATCCACAGTCAAGGACACTTCATGATATCTCAAGTCTATTTCATTATGTTTCCTACTGTTGCCTTTTACCTTGCTAACCTTTTAGTATCCTACCATCTTAGTTTCCTACTGTTCTTCATTCGGGCCCCGAATCCACTTTCGAGATGGCTCCTCGAGATCTTTTGGCTGACTGGTTCTCCTGAAGAAAAAGTGCTGCATTTTGCGCTCAAGCTGTTGGGGATATTCTTTGGGCTTACTTTTTTGAACTTAAAATTGACCCAAGAAGTGGAGGAGCAGATGATGGGTGCTCCAAGTCCTAACTCTTTGCTGTCCAGCTCTTAGAGTTGTTTCTATGAGGTGTGGCTCTTCTGGAGTTGGCGCAGCTTGAGGCAAGATCTGCGGAGCATGCAGTTTCCTGGATCCCCGGGTGCCTTGGTGTGGAAGTTGTTTGATGTTTGATGCTTCGATGCCTCAGGATGAATGACTGGTCACTCAGGTGGTGGATTTCAGGGAGTTCAGCAGCAAATGGGAACTGGGTTGGGTTTAGGGAACCAGGTGGGCCAAGGATTAGGTGGAGTTGGCTCAATGCAAGGTCAAATGGGTGGGGGCATTGGCCAGATGGGTGCAAACCAGATGGGCTTTGGCCAAATGGGTATGGGTCAAGGAATGGGTCAGGTGGGCGTCGGCCAGATGGGTATGGGTGGACAGATGGGGGTTGGCCTGACAGGAGGACAGATGAGTGCTGGGCAGATGGGAAACCAAATGGGTGGATTTGGTGGCTTGCCTGGTCTAGGTGGTCTTCCGCAGGGAAGTATGGGCATGGGCGGACAGCCAATGATGGGTGGACAGCCGATGATGGGGGGCCAGCCGATGATGGGCGGGCAGCCCGGATCAATGGGAGCTGGGGCCAATCAGTTCCAAATGCCCACGCCTTGGTGATTTGATGACAATTTCCTCCTATATAGTTGTACAAGCACACACAATATATAGCTCTTCAATTTGAGGCCTGGACCCCACACTGGTATGGCCTTTCAGCAAAGTCAGGCTGGGCAAGTCACTTGTTCAACACCATGTGGATGTTTTCAATTTGAGTGAACGCACTAGGTCCCTCAACCTGCAGATGAGAGGATTGTCTCGGCACTGAAGGAAAATGCATGAAAATGCTATGGCCTCTAGTAGTGCAGGACTTTGGAAGATCTTGCCTGCGCAACTGGCCCTTACCGTGAAATTTGGGGTCCTGGCCTGTGCTGCTGTGGATGTATTGATTTGCAGAATACGTTACTTTTGTGACTGAAACCATGCAGTGATGGCCAAACGTCGTGAGCAAAGCCCTGTGCACTGTGCACCTTTACAAACGACAGGAGATCAAATCAGAGTTATGCCGAAATCACCAGCCAATTATGCCAAGAGACTCCAGACAGCTGAAATGAGACCAGAAGGACAAAACGCTAAGCTGAAATCACACCATACATGCTATGCATCAATTTGATTGTTGTTTCTCCACGCCCACCCACACGTTCTGTACACTTTCAAACCGATCACACCAATGAACGCACTTCTTTTTACTTTTTCTCCAAACAGTTTACTGTTAGGGGTTCTCAATTCTTTCTTAAGATGTGTCCGCCCTTTGTGTCACTGCTGGTGTCTGCCCTTTTCCGATGGCCATGTAGCATTTCTATTCATTCTTCTCCCAGGTCTGTCACTGCTCGTGTCCGCCCTTTTCCGCTGGCTATGTAGCATTTCTATTCATTTGTCTCCCAGGTCTGTCGCTGCTGGTGTCCGCCCTTTTCCGCTGGCCATGTAGCATTTCTATTCACTTGCAACATTTCTATTGATTTGTCTCCCAGGTCTGTCACTGGTGGTGTCCGCCCTTTTCCGCTGGCCATGTAGCATTTCTATTCATGGTCTGTCACTGCTGGTGTCCGCCCTTTTCCGTTGGCCATGTAGCA